AAACAAAAGGACCTTGAAAAAGTCCACCTTCAAAAAATTACATTCAGTTGTATCTTCTTTAAAACCTGTATGTATAGACAACCAGCTCCTAAGAAGCTCAATAGTCTTGTTAATGACCTCAGCTTCAGTAGAGGCTTTGTGATCAAAAGTCCTGCTGTTCCTTTCAGTCCATACTGCCCACAAAATAGCCAGAGGTAAAGAGGAACAGCACAACTTCCCCTTCTTTGTCATCCCCGGTATGTGCCAAGCCTCCAAGTATTTTTTAACTGAGGCAGACATATACTTCAGCTGACTTTTAAGCACTTTAGAAAATAGTTCCATATCTCTGCTACAAACTTGCAATGTAAAAACAGATGGTTAACTGATTCCATCTCCCCACTGCACAGTATGCAGCTCAAGTCATTGAATGGAAAACCTTTCTTCAACAGCATCTCTTTTGTTAGGCATTTACCTAAAACTTCCACCCAAACAAAAAATTTAACTTTCATGGGTGCCACTGCCCCAAATGCCCACCTAGGAAAATGTGTACCATTTCCATCTAAATATCTGTAGAAGGATTTAACTGAGAACACTCCTGATTTCTCCCATTTCCACATTCTTGAATCCTGGCTTTGCAAGTTCAGAGTCTGATCTTGAAGCAAAGCTAGAAGATCCCCTATCTGTTGAATCTCCCAATCATTAAAGTCCCTTCTGAAGGATGGGTTCCAGCAAATGTTTTGTCCCCTCTGAACAAAAGAATCAGCTACCAGCACCTCTTTGTCAGCTGCCAAGTTGAACAAAGTAGGAAACAATCAAACAACTCTTTAAGGGACCTCTCCCCAGTCCAAGGGATCTGATCCTTTTGTCATCTCCCATTTTGAACCTGATATCCTGTCTGAACTTGGTGTTGGCTCTACAAATTCCTTTCCAAAGGCTGCAACCATAAGTTGAAGGATGGGAACCACACTCCCAACCATTACTGTCCAGCCCAAATTTCTCAGCTATTACCTTCCGCCAAAGGTTATTCAGTTCTGCATTAAACCTCCATTGCTAGTTGCCTAATAATGCTAAGTTGAAGGAATTTAGATCTCTTATCCCCAAGCCCCCTTGTGAGAGAGGTTTACATATCTGCCCCCACTTCACTAGATGATACTTATGTGAGTCTTTCCAACCCATCCACAGAAAATCTCATCTTTTATTCTAATTCCTTCACCACCTCCGAAGGGATTGGATAAAGAGACAAAAAATAGGTAGGCAGGCTGGCTAGAAGAGTACTCTTTATAAGAGTTACCTTCCCTCCTTTGGAAAGACCGAAAGATATCTAGCCTTCCTTGTGACCTGTTTTTGATCCATTCTCTCCAAAATTGGGTTTCAAATGGATTTTAATGTGCACTTGGCACCCAGTGGCAGTCCCAATTAGCCTGTGGGTAGAAATCCTACTTTGCAGCCCAATAGATCAGCCAAATTCTGAATTAGAAACTTTCCCCACTGCTATCATTTCACATTTTGCTAAGTTCACATTTAACCCAGAAACAATTTCAAACCAGAAAAGCAGGTGCTTTAAATTAAGAACTTGATCCTCCGAAGCCTTGCAGAAAAATAGAGTGTCATCAGCATACTTCAAGATTGGAATGGAAGTACCATTTGAGCTAACTTCAAAACCTTCCAACAGGTCCAACTCCACAGCTTTGTCCACCATTCTGCTGAGTCCTATTACTAATATGAATAGGAGAGGAGATAAGGGATCCCCTTGTTTCAAACCTCTCGAACTTCTGAAATTGTCTCTACCTGCACCATTAACAAGTACAGAGAATCTTGGAGTGGATATGCAAACTTTCATCCAGCTCCTCTGCTTTGAGCCAAAGTTTATTCTTTCCATCAAATAATCCAGAAAAGACCAACTAACATGATCATATGCCTTTTCTAAATCTATTTTACTGACTAATCCATTTCTCCCAACTCTCTTTCTTGAATCAACTAGCCCATTTGCTATGAGAACCACATTATGAATATGCTTGTTATGAACAAAAGCTCCTTGGTACTTGGATATCAAGGAATCTATCACCTTCCTTAACCGAGTGGCTAAAATCTTGGCCAAGATTTTATACATACTGGTCTAAAGTCCTTCAACTCGGCAGCCCCTTTCTTCTTTGGGATCAAGGAAATGAAAGTTGCATTCAAGCTTCTTTTCAAGACTGCAAAATTACGAAATTCCTCAAGAACTTTTAAGATATCATCAGCCTTAAGAAGTTCCCAAAATTTCTTAAAGAATAATAAGGTGAAACCATCCAGGAATGGAGCCTTTTCTCCTTCCAAGTCATCTAAAGCCTTCTTTACCTCCTCTTCTGAAAAAGGCTTCTCCAAATCAGATGTCTGTTGATCTGTCAAAAAATCAAACCTTAAGCCATCCAGCTTTGATCTTCTCTTGAAAGGTGCTTTGAAAAGGTTTTTGTAAAAACCAACAAAAGAGTTGGCTAAGTCTTCTTCTTGATCCACCACTCGACCTTCAATTTCCATGCTTTTTATGGAGTTTATTCTTCTTCTTGCATTGGCAGCCTTGTGGAAAAAAGCAGTATTGTTGTCACCTGCTTTTAGCCACACAATTCTTAACCTCTGTCTCCATTTTACTTCCTCTTGGTACATTAGGGAGTCAAACACTTTCTTAGCTGAAATCCTCTTCTTTCTTTTCTCATCATCCAAACACCCACCTTCCTCCTCCCTATCTAAATCAGCAATAATTTTCAGACACTCTTTCTTTTTTTCCCCATCACTCCCCCACCTTCAACTGAAAATTCGGACCACCACCTCTTTACATTTGCCTCTAATTCCTCTGAGTCCAGCCAACAGTGTTCCAATCTGAAGGGGTGTGACATCTTTTTCAGCCCTCCAGTGCTTAGTAGGAGTGGTATATGATCCGACACCACCCTTTGCAGAGCTTCCTGACTAAAATTGGGAAAAATCTCTTCCCGTTCAGGAGAAATCAGGAATCTGTCCAGCCTTACTAAAGTTGGCTCTTCCTGATTGTTAGCCAAAGTGTACTTTTTGCATCAGAGAGTGGCAAGTTTATCAAATTCCACCTTTGGATGAAACCCACAAAAGATTTCATATTTCTGTAAATCCTGTTACAATCCTTTTTATCTAGAGGACTGACTATAGCATTGAAGTCGCCCCCTAACACCCAAGGTCTCCCCACCTTTGACTGAGTCTAACTCTTTGAAGAGGTCTTTCCTTTAAACTTGACTCCACCACCCCCTAGCATTGAAGTAGACTAAGATGTTTTGGTCATGTGCATAGAAGACCATCTACAACACCTGTAGGAAGAAGTGATCTGTTACAAGTTGAAGGTAAAAGAAGAGCTAGGGGCAGAGTGAAAACGACATAGGTTGAGGTGGATATGACACTGAACAGAAATGAATGGTGAAATAGGATTTGCGTAGCTGACCCCATATGGTTGGGACAAGGCTTAGATGTTGATGATGATGTCTTCCCAATCCATTCAACAGGAAGCTGCTCTTTTACATGTCAATAATATCTTCCCTCCTTTTCTTCTAGGGGAAAGCAAATTATGTTGAAACAGACTATTGGTATTCCTGGGGCATGTTTTCCTGACAGCACACAAGAAGTTCACACAAATAGCAGTAATATATGAACAGGAGATCAGTGATAAATGATTTTACAACTTGCTTACTTCTAAATTGTTCTTATTGATAATAAGCTATTACAGTTATTGGTCAAAAAATAGATGATTTTACAACTTGCTTTATATGAAGGCACATGCGGGTGTTGGGGGAGGGGGTTCAAGTAGGTCTTCTCTCTTGAATGACCTAGTTTTATTGTCAAGTGTATCAGCTCCAGAAAAAAACCCTGTTTTTGGGAGGCTTCTTATAAAACCAATGTCTGATATACCAACAAAAGAACTGGAAACATAAACATGGGACAATATGGGAAAACAATAAAACTTTACAGTCTGTAATAGAGTACAATCCAGGATTATCATTGCGACACTAGACATTTTATTCGGCCGTGTGAAATATGGAGTCCTAGAATTATATTAAAGAAGTATTTTTATGTCGTAGATAGAAAGTTTTGGGTTTCATTTGGTTAATTCATGGAAAAGGTAGTAAATACAAGAATAACTGATTATTTTCACCATGGCTGGAAAAGGATGTTGCCAGGCATGATGAAAATCAGGTAAGAGAAACAGATGCATAGGAGAACACAAGAATGGATAATCATCTTCATAGTGGTTGGCCGAGGATGTTTCTGGACAGGGTGAAGATCCAGCCAAGTGAAATTGCTGATGGCTGGTTGTCGTACTGGTGTAAATCCCCCTTTATGGCCACTGAATCCTTCTAGTGGCCAGATCTGTTACCATATACCCCTCATCACTTCAGTCACTCTCATAGATATTCTATATTTGTTCAAGACATTCTTTATTTTTTAATTTCTTTAGCTTCACCCTTCTCTTTCTTGATAAAATAGGATAGGAGCAAACCAAGGGATATAACTTCTTCAATTTGGAGTACAATTTTCCCACTTTACTTATGGTGGTGCAATTTTGGTGAAATCAAATGGGGGAAGTTTTGTAACCTTTTGAGAATTGGAGAATTCCAAATCTTCATTGCTTTGAAACAAAACAATGTCTTAGGTGATTGCCTGGTCAGCTAACAAGTAACAACTTGGAGACTGAACATACCTAGATAGCTGCCTAGGCCCTATTTCAGTTAGTACATCTCCTATCTATAAGTTAGTTGCCTTTAGGCATCAACTGGATTTTCTTATACAAATGCATGGTGTAAGGTGATTGCCTGGTCATCTAACAAGTAACAACTTGGAGACTGAACATAACTAGATGACTGCCTAGGCCCTATTTCAGTTAGTACATCTCCTGGCTTGGCAAGTTAGTTACCTTTAGTCATCAACTAGATTTTCTTATACAGTGCATGGTATTGTAAAAGAATATTTTTAAACCGCTTAGCATTTTCTGTCTTCTAATTGTTTTGATATTTTTTCTGTTGCAGAGTTGGCGTAGCTAGCTTTATCAACTTACTTGTTGAAAAAGTTGGTGCTGATATCAAACCATTTACAAACATGCTTTTAAAGCTCTTGTTTCCTGCTGTTAAGGACGAGAAAAGTGGTGCAGCAAAACGTGCTTTTGCAAGTGCTTGTGGAATCACATTGAAGTACTCAACTCCTTCGCAGGCCCAAAAGTTGATAGAAGAGACTGCAGAGTTGCATAGAGGTGATAGAAGTTTACAGATTTCATGTGCAGTTCTACTGAAGAACTATTTGCATCTGGCAGCAGATGTTGTAGCTGGATACCATGCAACAGTCTTTCCTGTTATTTTTGTTGCAAGGTCTGTTTACAGACTAGACTATCCTTTAAGTGCATTTTCATGCTTGGATATTCTTGCCACATCAACATCAGGGAATTCTTTCAGCGCCGCTTTGCTTATTGATGAGCTGTTTTTTATTTTTGTTTTTCCTTTTTTTAAGTACATAGGATATAAATGGGTACATTAGAATACTGTTAAATCAAATGAAACCTGCCCCCAAGTATAGCCATGGTAGATTTTGCAAAAAAGAAACTTCAAACAGAATCTACACTGAGATTTCAATGTTTAGGCAGAAAACAAAAAGGAAATACATAATGGAGCCACTACAAGAACATAAAAGTAAATGCAAATAGTGAAGAAGCTCCCTCTTCCCAATTTTGGGGTTTTATCCCATTTTTATTGGGAGCTTGGTCTGATGATTAAAAAGATTATCTCATTCACCTAGTCTTCCAAATTACTTGAGACTAGATTTTTGATAGGAATAAGAGGAGAACAATGCAAAAAATATATTCTAACAAACAAAAATATGTATTTTTTCATCTTGTGCTTCTTTTAAGATGGATGGAGCTCTTTGGACTTCCCAAGTTATCCTTGGAGCCTCCATCCATGATGGTTACTTTGCAAGATGAACTATGAACCATGAGTAAGATGATAATGGATTAGTTTGTTGTAAATGTGGCTCGATCATGTCCCTAGATGCTACATGTCTATATTTTTGAAATGGGCCTGATTTGGCCTAGTCAAGATGCATATTATTTTTTGCTTTTTGAGTCCAAAAGTAGAAATAGGTGTTTTTGAAGGAATTTTATATGAAGAATATGTTAAGGGTGTCTCAAAAGTGAGTAAAGGTTTTTTATTGTTATTAAAGTTCGGCCTGCCTGTTAGACTGATAACAGTCAAGGAAAAGAGAGAGAGAGAAAGAGAGAAAGGAGAAGAGTAGAAGAGAAGACAAGGAGGAAAAGGCCTGGTTCGAATGAGAGAAAAAGTCAACCCTCCCATTCGGCCAGATTTGTTTGATATTACTAAAATATTGTGGAAAAGTCACATGTGCCCCTACTCGACACATCAGCACCTAAACATAAGCACAAAGACAGAAATACCCCTACATACTCGACACTAACACTCCCCCTCAAGCTGGAGAGTATATATCATATAATCCCAGCTTGTTACATATGTAGTCCACTCTACCCCGACTCAATCCTTTAGTAAACAAATCTGCCCACTGGTTCCCTGTGTTGACATATGCAGTGTCTATAACTCCACTCAGCACCTTCTCTCTAACCGAGTGATAGTCAACCTCTATGAGCTTGGTTCTCTTATAAAACACCAGATTAGAGGAAATATGAACTACAACCTGATTGTCACATTAGAGCTTCATCGGAGTATCAACAGTGTATCCCATCTCCTGTAGAAGGTTCCTTAGCCACACTAATTCACAAGTAGTATGTGCCATAGCTCTATATTTTGCCTCTGCACTGCTTCTTGCCACAACTATCTGCTCTTGCTTTTCCATGTCACCAGATTACCCACAAGAAAAGTGCAATAGCCTGTGGTAGATCTCCTATCAGATACAGAATTGGCCCAATTAGCATCAGTATATCCTTCTATTTCAAGTTTTCCACCACTTTTGTATATCAAACCACGACCATGAGCACCCTTTAAATACCTCACAATCCTTAGAACCGCATCCCAATGTGGAACCAGATGTTTCTGCATGAACTGACTTACCATACTAATTGCGAATGAAATGTTTGGCCGAGTGATGGTTAGGTAGTTCAGTTTACCTACCAGCCGCTGGTATCTACCAGGGTCTTCAAACACTCACCCATATCATTGCTCAAGTTAGTGTTTGTTTACATAGGTTTTTCAGCAGGTTTAGCACCTAACAAACTTGTTTCTTCAAGCAAATCAAGAACATATTTCCTTTGACAAAAGTTAATACCATGCTTAGACCTTGCTACTTCTATCCCCAAGAAATACTTCAATTTACCAAGGTCCTTTGTCTGAAAATGTTCATGCAAAAAAGTCTTCAACCTGTCAATGCCCATTTTATCATTTCTGGTAATGACAATATCATCTACATACACCACCAATAGGATCTTCCCTGCCTGAGAGTCATGACTGAAGACTGAATGGTCTTGGCATTGTTTCATACCAAACTTCTTTACCACCTCACTAAATCTGCCAAACCATGCTCGATGAGACTATTTAAGCCCATAAATGGCCTTCAGTAGTCGGCACACCTTACCATCCTCCCCCTGAGCAACAAACCCTGGTGGTTGCTCCATATAGACCTCCTCGAGCAAATCACCATGCAAGAAGGCATTCTTGATATCAAGCTGACAGAGGGGCCAATCATACATCACAATAAGAGAAACCACAACACAGATTGAACCAATCTTAGCAACCGGGGAGAAAGTCTCTGTGTAATCAATACCATAGGTTTGGGAATACCCTTTGGCAACCAGTCTAGCTTTCAGCTGCTCTACACTACCATCAGGTAAGTACTTAGCTATATAAACCCACTTACAACCAACAGCCTGCTTAGTAGGAGGAAGAGTGGTGAGGTCCCATGTATGATTATGGGCCAGAGCTAAGAGTTCTTCCATCGCACGACACCATCCTAGAGAGTCAAGGGCTTCCTGGACATCCTTAGGGATAACAACAGAGGATAACAAAGAGATAAACTGGCGATGGGAAGCGGAAAGGTGAGTCAGTGAAACATAATTAGAAATAGGATGAAGGGTATAACTGCGTTTACCTTTCCGCAAGGCAATGGGAAGATAAAGATCAGATATTGGGGTTGGGGCTGGTGTGGGAACAACTGCCGGATTTGTCGACGATGATGGAGCTGGAGGAGGAGTCGGTACATGTAGGCGATGTGTATACACGTGATGGATAGGTGGTCGTTCAACAGGTGGTGGCACCAGAGGCAAGGACTTGGTCACAGCTGGAAGAGGAAGGGGAGGATGTGATGAAGAGGAAGAAACGTCACCGGACCCATGAAAAATGGAGAAGACTCAAAGAAGGTAACATCAATACACACAAAGGAACGTCGAGAGCTAGGATGATAACACTTATACCCTTTTTGAGTCCGGGAATAGCCAAGGAAGACGCACTTAATAGATCGTGCATCTAACTTGTCCTTTCCTGGCCCCAAATTATGAATGAAGCAAACACACCTAAAAACCCAAGAAGAAAGAGGAAACGGAGACAAGGTAGGAAACAATGTGGTGAATGGAGAATGACCATCAAGGATAGACGTGGGCATCCAATTAATCAAGAAGCAAGAAGTAAGCACTTCATCACTCCAAAAAGATTTGGGAACATTCATGTGATGCATGAGGGGTTGAGCTGTTTCCAAAAGATGATGATTCTTTCTCTTAACCACCCTGTTTTGTTGTGGGGTGTAGGTACACGAAGTCTGATGGATAATGCCATGTTGGTCTAGGTATTCTTGAAATGATGAAGAGAAATATTCACGGCCATTACCGGAACGAAAAATTTTAATGAGAACCACGTCATCCTTGAATAATCATCAACAAAAATGACAAAATATTTATATCCATTGTATGACATTACTTTATAAGGACCCCAAACATCTGAATGAACCAAAGAAAAAGGACTTGACATACGGTTATCAACTGTAGGACTAAAGGGAACACGATGATGCTTCCCCAACTGACACGACTCACAATCCAAAACAGACAGATGACTCAATGAAGAAACCAAAGACTTCACCAGTTGGAGAGTTGTTGACGTACTTCCACCACCATCAAGATAATACAATTCACCAGTTTCATGCCCTCCACCAATCTTCATCCCCGTCTTGAGATCCTGAAAAACACACGAAGAGGGGTAAAAGGTAATGGAGCAATTAAGAGACTTGGTCAACTTACTAACTGACATAAGATTAAAAGGAAATTTAGGGACATACAAAATTGAGGATAAGGATACAGGGTTCATGCTAACATTACCAACACCACAAATGAAAGATGTGCAACCATTAGCAAGGTAACAAATTGTGATGTTGGGCAATGAGAGAGGGAAGAAAACACACCTGGAGTTTCAGTTATGTGATCGGGGCTCCAGAATCAATAATCTAGGGATTGGGTGTGGATGCCAGACAAGCCATGCCTGAGTGTGCGAGAGTGGCCGTGTTCTACTGAGATGTGGCCTGAACAAACCTCTCATACTCATCACGGGGAATACTCATCATCTACTTCCCAGTAACATCTGCGGATGTAGAAGGTATCTAATTAGCTAAAGGACTCTCCTGTCTGAAGCTACTGTCACTAGTCATGACATGATTGACCCAAGTTGAGGGTGGACCATGCAAGTCATAGCAATAATTAATGGTATGTCCATCCATACCACAGTGTGTACACCTCCTTGGACCCAAACTACGTCCTCTGCCACGGGCTCCCCCTGAATCTCAACCTCCAGTACGACCACCACCACGGTTATATGTAGGTCCACTACCTCCACTCCGGCCATATGCCGGTCCATTGCTGCCACTACGGCCAGACTGAGCTCCCCGAGCTCCACCTCTAACATTACGGCCTCTGGATACTGCAAAGGCTGATCTATCGGAAACATTAGGGTTCTCGGTAGATCCAATGGAAATCCTCCTAAGTTGAGCAAACACCTCTTCTAAGGAAGGGAGAGTTGACCCTCCTAGTATCTGAGCCCACACTGGTTCATACTCAGATTTCAGCCCCACCAAAAATCAAGTAATATTAAGTTGTTCCCTCTGTTGTTGCTGAATTTTGACATTAGAAGTGAGGGGGTGATAAACATTCAATTCAATTCGAATGTTTCTCATACTAGCATAGTACTCCTTAAGACTCTGATTACGCTGTTGTAGATTAAAGTATTCCTGATACAATTGATATACTCTGGTTATATTGTCTTGGCCCGTCTTGACAGTGTGGCCGACAAGAAATAAGAGGAAGAGAAGAGAAGAGAAGAAGAAGAGAGAAGGGAGAAGAGAAGAGAAGAGAAGAAGAGAGAAGGGATTG